TATATATATATATGTTGATCTTGTAAACTCCTGTTGGTTGCATGAGTGTGTGTGTGTAAAATATTTAAAAATATAAATAAAGCACAATAAATATAAATAAAGCACAGCGTAAAATCAGTTTTATATATACAACCACATTATTAAAACATCTAAGCAGGGTGACCTTGGATGTGTAGACTAGTCCTTATTCCATCGGAGTTCCAATCTTGGGAGCCTACTAGGAAATGTTGCCTGATGCTATTAGGGAGCAATCTTAAGCTGGCCTACTCATATGCAAGTCACATATGGTGTAGTGGTTAAGAATGTGGTGCAGTGGTTAAGAGTGGCGGACACTTATCTGGAGAACCGTTTTTTATTCCACACTCCTCCACATGAAGCCTGCTGAGTGACCTTGGGCTAGTCATGGTTCTTCCAGAGCTCTCTCAGCCCCACCTACCTCACAAGGTGTCTGTTGTGGGGAGAGGAAGGAAAGGTGATTGTAAGCCTCTCTGAGACTCCTTAAGGTAGAGAAAAGGAGGGTATGAAAACAAGTTCTTCTTCTTCTGAGCCAGTCTTTGTAGGCAAGTCCCATGTTATTTTAGTGTCTCACTCCCAGGAAAATGTCTTTGGGACTACAGCCTTCAGCAGCTAGAAACAAAACCCTTATCGTTTCCCTGGGCCATGGGGGTATTTAAGTGAACTGTGTTTTTCTACCCTGTTTATGTGTATGTGCAGGGTGCAAATAATTCCATCTCCTTTGAGGCTTTCATTGCATGGTCCATGAAAAGGGACGGTACATTATATACTGTACGGACATTATGATGCAATCGCCTTGACACAGAGAGTACTCCATCTTTCTGTGTTATACCTCTGAGGATGCCAGTCACAGCTGCTGGCAAAACATCAGGTCCTGGAATGCCAAGACCACGGCCACACAAACCGGAAAATCTACAACAGCTAATTATTGTGCAATGTTTACTTGGTTCAGCACTACTAGTTCTCCCTCAGTAATTCTTTTTTTTACCATTTTTTGATCTTGTATACCCAGAGCAGAAAGAAACGGGGGTGACGTGGGAGAGAAATGCTTTGGAATGTGTTTACATTTTATTGTGTATGACTTCACCCCATGGTGAGAAGTGTGTGTGTGACATATATATACCATCAAAGAGGAGAAATACAGCTGACTTTGTTGCTAGGCTCTTCTGTACAAAAAGTGTTTCGTTGGAGATCTTCAAAGGAGAGCACTCTGTTTTGAGAAATAGGGTGTTGGAAGTGAATTAGAAGTAAGCTGCTGCCTTGGGAGTTGGCCAGGTAGGAATTTTCCACAATAGCCTTGCGTCTTTTGTTTAACAGTTTGGTCACTGGCTCTGACACCTGGAAGCTGCCCAAAGCTGAGTGATCATCAGGCACCCTCTAGCTAGCTCTGAAAGCATTCAGCAGTGGAGGTTTTCAAAGTGTTGCTGACTCACACACTGTTTTCTTCCTTGAGGCATTTTGAGCAGGTGTGTAAAATAAGCTGATTTGTCATTTTGGACACCCTCAGATCAAAGTTGAACACTTGCACATCCCGTCGATTTTACGCATGTCTTTGGCTCTGTCCCCCCTTGAAATCTGTTGGACTTAATAAAGCACTTAACTTGGGTCAGAGCAGTGGAGGTTTTCAAAGTGTTGCTGACTCACACACTGTTTTCTTCCTTGAGGCATTTTGAGCAGGTGTGTAAAAATAAGCTGATTTGTCATTTTTGGACACCCTCAGATCAAAGTTGAACCCTTGCACATCCCGTCGATTTTACGCGTGTCTTTGGCTCTGTCCCCCCCTTGAAATCTGTTGGGCTTAATAAAGCACTTAACTTGGGTCTGATTGTGCCTTTTATGTTTGCAAAACACCTGAATATGGATCAAGATGGGTAGCAATGTTAGTCTGTAGCTGGATCCGGTCCATGGGGTCGCGAAGAGTCGGACTCAACTGTGCGACTGAACAACAACAACAACAAAAAGCTGGGGGAAAAGAGTCCAGTAGCACTTTAAAGACTATCAAAATCTGTGGCAGGGGGGGAGTGTTGATTTTTGACTGGTCGCTTCTCCATCTATATTCAGTATCGGAAGAAGTGAGCAGTGACTCACAAAAGCTCATACCCTACCGCAAATTTTGTTAACCTGAATTTGGTGAGACTTGACAATTTTCAGTCTTATGGAAGTAGAATGTTTATTTCCTACTTGTTCTCTCTCATTATCTTTTGCATTGAAATACATAGACCTTTAAGTTGTGTCTCTTTTTCTGCCATTGTGCTGGTCCTCATGAAACAAATTCTGCTTGCTGGGGGAAAAACCCAGCAAATCAGCCATTGCATTATACTTTTCCGTGGAGTGTATCTTTCGGCAGAGCCCTGTAGGTCTCCCTCCTCCACTGAAACTAGGCCTAAGTATGACTAGCTAAAATGAATGTAAATTCTTCCCATTTATCCCTGCTTCAGCCTTCATCTCCCTCCTCTTATGCCTAGATGACCCTGGAGGTCCCCGTCCCACTTTATGATTCTGTGATTCTTAATATTCGCTGTCTCAAGCTTGTGCTTGTGGGTCTGCCTTGTGCTCCATAAAATTCTATGTTATTTATACAGCTTTATATAAATGCCTGCAAAACTGAGCATGCCTCTTGCAAGGAAATGGAATGCATGTGCTGTATAGCCTGAATCCACTTACTTTGGGTCATAGAATTGGAACCCCGCACTGTAAAGGGCTTCGGTATGTTCTTTGTATCCAGGCTTTTTTGTTCCTCAAATACTGCTGTTAGTCTACTGCTCTGGCCTGTTGGGGCCACCCGGCTGGAATTCTCTTCAGCTGCTGTAGTGCTTTTATTCTATCCAAATATACGTCTCTAGGGACAGGTGCATGAGGTCTTCTCAAGCAGGGCTGGTTCACCACCCCAGTGGCCACAGGAAGCAATAGGTATTTATTGAAAACGTTTTTGTGCTGCCTTTCCGCCAAATCAGGATCTACAAGGCGATGGACATAAGAAACATTAAAGCAATTAATTACAGTTGAAATTATTTTTAAAAATCAATTAAAAACATGTAAACACACTGCACTAGAAGGAGGGCCAAAAGCTGTTACTGCGGGTGTGTGAGACAAAGTAAAAAAGTCTCCATCTGCTGATGAAAGATGCTAGTGGGGGAGACTTTTCCCTGGGGAGGGAGTTCCAAAGCTCTGGAGCCACGATGGAGGAGACCCTTTCTCGAGTCTAGCCTCAGTTGGCAGGGGCAGCTGAAACAGGACCTTTAAGGTTGACCTGAGTGGGTAGGTAGGTTCATACTTTTCATGTGTGTGTCCGTGTCCGAGTGTGTGTGCACCTGGAAGTCATGGTGACCTCTGGTGACTGGAAGATATTCAGAGAGGTGGCTGAATAAGGCCTGCCCCCACCTCCTGCCTCTGATATTCCAAGAAGGTCTCCCATCCGAGTACTTGCCAGAGTCAACCCTGCTTAGCTTCTGAGATCTGACGAGATAAGGCTTGCCTGGGCTATCCAGGTCAGGGCTGGGTGGGTAGGTTCGTGTGGGAAAAGGCATGTTGAGCCCAGGCCACACAGGGCTTTAAAGGTCAATTTCAGCACCTTGAATTAAGGTGGAGGTAGGTCGAGGAGCTGCGGTGGCTCAAGTGGTTAAGACGCTGAACTGCAGGCTCTGAAAAGTCAGTAGTTCAGCAGTTCGAGACCCGAGTGTGCCACAAGACGGAGTGAGCTCCCGTCTCTAGTTCCAGCTCCTGCCAACCTAGCAGTTCGAAAGCAAGAAATTGCAAGTAGATAAATAGGGACCACTTCGGTGGTAAGGTAACAGCGTTCCGTGCGCCTTGGTGTTTAGTCATGCCGGCCACATGACCACGGAAACATCTTCGGACAGCGCTGGCTCTTCGGCTTTGAAACGGAGATGAGCACCGCAACCCTAAAGTCGGATTCGACTGGCTTTCGAGCAAGTTTACTTTAGGTCGAGGTTGGCATGGGGGAGGCAGCGATGGACATGGTTTGTGCCTGTTGCTGTCTCCCAGGCCCATGCCGCTGTCACCTGGATGCCAGGCTCTGCTGCTGCAGCCCACCTTGGATCTGGACCAGAGGCTGCCTGGTGTGACAGTATGGCTTGTGGTAGCCTTAGGCTCACATCATATGCGTTCTGGTCAGTATATGTTTTTGAAAAACCTGCTTCCATATGGTTGTTCCCACCGAGGCACTAAGAGGGAAACAGGAGTCCAGCAGCATTTTAAAGACTAACAAAGTGTATGCCAGCATGTGCTTTTCATGTGTCAGAGCTCACTCACTTCATCAGAAGTATGGGCTATACGTTCATAAGAACAGGTATATACTTTGCATTTTCTTTTGTATTTCCTAGAAATGTACACCCTGACCTGGACAGCCCAGGCTAGCCCGTGTTCGTCAAAGCTCTGAAGCTCAGCAGGCCTGGCCCTGGGTAATACTTGGTGGGAGTCCAGGGTTGCTACAGAGAAGACAGGCAGTGGCAAACTGCTCCTGTTTGTCTCTTCAAACCCCCACAGGGTTGCCATAAGTCGACTGCATCTGGATGGCACTTTACACCACCAGAAGCTTGCACCACTGTGCGTTCGATAAGATGAGCTCTTGGCTCACAAAGACTTGTTATGCCTCTGGACTCCAGTTGTGTGGAAATCTGTAGCTGCAAAATGGCTGCCTATCTGGAATTGTCTTCATGCTGGGAGAGCAGTGGAAAAAGCTTTCCCTTATGTAGAAAAATACGAACTTTAAAAATCCCGTGTGAATGTGAATAGTCAGGGCAGAGCAATTCACTGATTCTGTTGCACGTTGCTAGAACTGATGCCTGAAGGTTCTGAATCTGGTTTTCCCTTTTCTTTTTTTTCCTCCTAGCATATGTTCCACTCACTCCACATATTCGTAACTTGACTGCTAATGTTTCAACCCGCACGTTGAATTTGGCGTGGAATGATGGCAGCTCAACTGTCCCATTTCCTGTGGATGCTACCTGGGAAATTCAGATTTTGTATAAAGACCCCATGGAGACTGTGGCACTGGTGAGTTATGACTTCGCCTTTCTGTTCCAGTCATTGTTTACTTTTCCAACCCAAGCTTTGAATAAGATAGATCACTTTCTAAATATGAGAACGCCTTTGAAGATATGGGGTGGGATTCAGCCAGGTTTTTCATGCACTGTTCCCCAGTTTTCCTTCCTTCAGCCCCTGTCCCACATGGCTTGTGTCAGTGGTCACCACCATACCTGATCTGGGTAGTCAGAGGGGGTCCCCTCCTTCCTTTAGTGCTTGTGGGAGAGTTGGTTGGATCCAACCCACTGACTAAAAATTGTATCACTGGAACTGTTGTATATGGCGCTTGTATCCCCAACCAAGGAGTTTACGGTAAATGCAGAAAGTCAACAGTGCCATCCTAGGTAATGTTGTCTCCTTCTAGATCAGTTGAAGTCAGAGGTCATTTCGGGGGGGATCGCGGGGGAACACAGTTCCCCCGGGTGAGGTGCGGGGGGGCGGGGCACATGATGAAGCCCCGCCCCCTGCTTCCAGCCGCCCCGCTTCCGGGTAAGTTGGGTAAGTTGCTTCCTCCCCGCCTCTCCCCACCCCTGCCTGCCCGGAGCCAGGGAGGGCCTTGGGGGGGCTTCCTCGCACTCCCGCCGGCCTTGCAGGTCCACCGCAGGGCCCCTGATGTCAGGGTGTGTGGCATATGCTAATGAGTTATGCTAATGAGTTCCCCTAGCTCTTTTTTTACGAAACGACCCCTGGTTGAAGTCACTGGGCTTAGAATGGTGCAACTCTTTTTAGGATGGCACAGTTACTCCTATGTTTGCACTCAGAAGAACCCTGAGAACTGGTTTAGGCTGAGAGACAGAGCCTGGTCCAAAATCACCCTGTCTGCTGCTCCTTTATGGCTGAAAAGAACCTCAGTCCAACACTCTTACCTGTCCTCTACAGGATGCTGTTTCTGTGTGGAGGAAGAGCTAAGAAGACAAGAGATAATATTGCAAGAAGGCCAAGCATGTATTGGCTTCGTCTGGAAATAGCCAGATGTCCTCCATTAGCAGAGAGTAAAATTTGTTCTTGTTGGAATTGTCAGTGACGGATTCAGGTTCAACTGCTAGATGCCTGTGAACAGCACTTGGGAGATTGTCCCATTTCCTGTCCCCACAGAGGGGGGCATGCGTAGCAGATAGCCCTTGAGTGTCTCAGTGTACCCCCAATATGGAGGATGCATCCTCAGGGCAGGATAATCGAACCAAACTTTTCTACTCAAGTGATTTCGTAAAGAAGCCAGAAATAAACATGATTTCTTCGTGATTTTTTTTGGGATGGGTGGGTGGGTAGGACCTTTTGGTAGCAGCCTAAAAGGCCACGCCAGCCCAGTCTCATCAGATCTCGGAAGATAAACAGGGTTGGCCATGGGTTAGTGCTTGGATGGAAGGCCACCAAGAAAGCCCAGGGTTGCTATGCAGAAGGAGGCAGTGGTGAAACCACCTCTTGCCTTGAAAAACCCACACTCCTCGGCAGTGTTCCCTCTAAGGCGAGTTAGTGTGAGCTAGCTCACAGGTTTGTTTTTTATAAGTGTTTTTTATTTTGAACAATATATACAACAGTACAGTCATAACATATATTAACACTATGCAATAATCAACTTTCTCAACCCTTAAGAGCCCTGTTAAAAATATAACAGATCTTTATAATAAGAGTTGTTTGTAATCACTTCTTCTTCTGCTAGATAGTTCACCACTCCGGTTCAGATCCCAGCTCTGCCATAGAACTTGCTGGATGTTCTTGTGCCACTGTTTCTCTTGGCCAAACCAACTACTCAGGGCCAGTGTCCCCTCTAAGCTGAGTTATGAGGGAACATTGCGTCCTCGGGGTTGCTGTGAGTCAGTTGCAACCTGACAGCATGCAGTTATTATTTATATTTTATTAGAAGATTTAGTAGTAAGATTAGGCTATGCCTAAATGATACTTGGGAAGCATGGATAAAACCATGATTAAGTGTTATGAGACAGAAGGAGATGACAAAAGTGCCAGCAGACGGTGGTTGATGTAATTCCAGTGTAAATTTGAAGGTCGGTGAAGCCAAATGAGATCAGCAGGCTCGCGGGCGTTGTGAAGTCATCACCGTGCCAGTTCTCAACCTAGAAGAAAACAATACTAGATAGCTAACCTTTTTTGTTGTTGTTCCTCTACGTTGGCATCATTGTGGTGAGGGGACTGGGAGTCTAGAGAAGCTATCAAAAATCGATGCTAAGTTTCTAGAGAAGGAAGATGTACATTTGGGTCTTAAAGAACATGGGCTTGTCTCATTTTTGTTGGTACGACACAGACTGGGTAGGTCAAATGCAGGTTTGATTTATAAGCCACTGTGTGTTTTATCAAGCTGCTTTTAAGAAGAAAGAGTTGCACTTCTAAAAAGGAGCAAGCACATTATCTGGTTGTAGAATATGAAAAGGCAACAGAGGGCAAAATGATAGCGGACCTGCATCCAGTGATGGCGTCTGCAGTCCAGGGGAATGTGTGTATTTGTTAATCTTGCAAGAACGGGAGACCTCATTGTTGTTCTTGAACAACAAAGGCCCCCAAAGTCAGACATTTTTTATAACTATTCTGAAGTGTGTCCATCATTGTGGGTCAGATGCATCCTGTGTGTGTGTAATTGGAAGTAAATTCTCTAGTCTTTTTTGGAGTGTTATTCCCACATATATTTTTTTGTTTTCAAAATGTTATTTAATTAAAACAATACAAACATGCATACTGAAAGATATATTACATTGTGTTTTCCATCAGTTTCAACTCAGTATCTGTATATTGCACATAACTAGCCTTGTACTCAGTCTAATCTACTTTTCACTTCTAAAACTTATATGATAAGAGCTCAGCCTAAACACCTGTGAATCAAAAATGTATAATGGAGTGCATGGAGTAGCATCCTTAGAGTGCAATCCTAAACCAGGCCCATAGCTACAGTGGGGCATCTCGGGGCCCCCCCCCCCCCCCCGGAGTCACTGTCCAGGCCTCCTGACTTCCCATCCAACCAGTTTATCTTACTTTTCTTGCATGCCACAAGCATACTGCGCCATCGCCCTGCCCTCTGTCATCCTCACCTCTCTCTCATCACTTTTTTTTTTAACTTACTCTCTTTTCACTCCTGACACAGCCTGGGTGTGTGTGTGGGTGCCCCCCAACTTATTTAAATGCCCCCGGAAGTCAAAAATCCTGGCTGCAGCCCTGTCCTAAACTGAGCTACATCCTTCTAAGTCCCACACACATTCTCTGTGGTGGCTGTCATGAACATACGAAGCTGCCTTATACTGTATCAGACCCTTAGTCCATAAAGGTCAGTATTGTCTATTCTGACTGGCAGTGGGTCTCCAAGGTCTCAGGCTGAGATCTTTCACATCCAGATGCCCTTGGTCTTTTTTAAACTGGAGATGCTTGGAATTGAACCCAGGACCTTCTGTGTGCCAAGCAGATGCCCTGCCACTAAGTCACAGCCCCTTATATTATGGAGTGGCCTATCTGAGCCAATCAGGATGGCCCAAATGCTTCTATCTTTTCTCAGAATCTGTAATACAGGAAAGGTTCAGTAAGAGACAGTCTCAAAGAGATCAGAACTACAGTATAATGGATCAGCTCGGGAGGTTGCTTCTATAAATGATAATATTATAGTATATTGCAATGTTTAGCATACCCATCACACCCTTTTTACTGCCGTTCAGTCTCTACTGCCTATGTAACCCTATCTTCTTTATGGGATGTCAAACTTCAGACAGTTTTGTTGTTTGAGACAGTTTTGTTGTTTGAGACAGTTTTGTTGTTTAAGACAGTTTTATACTGTTTTCCAGTTTCTTCAGTCCTAACTCCACTGCATTGTTTTGTTTATCTAAAAGCTTTGCTGTTCAGCTTTAGTATATTTTGTAACCCACATCCTGCTAAATAGTCTTTATCATATTTTGTAATCCACCTTTAGTCTATCAGAAAGGCACACTATGAATAATAATGGTAAAGAAATAAATCCTGCTAAGGATGACGCTGCCACTGTACTGGAAAGTGCTGCAACCACAGCATGCATAGAATTATAGAGCTGGAAGGGGACCTTCAGGGTCACCTAGTCCGACCCCCTGCACAATGCAGGAAATTCACAACTGCCTCCCCCCTGCACCCCCAGTGAACCCACTGACTGATCAGTCCTGGCTTTTGAACATACAGGTATTTCCAGTGGCTGGATTACTTACCTTTTTTGTCGATGAGCCTTTCAGGGAAAGCAGCAGACAAACTGATGCCCAGAGGTGGAACATCAGTCCATGTTGTATGCAAAGAAGTGTGCCCATACTTACCAAAGGTTCTCATTTCATCACTGCAATTGTAATTTATAGGAGAGTGTGAACCCCCTCCCCAAGTGTTTTCTGTTGTATCAATAAGAAGTCGGAATTTATAGGAGAGTGTTTTCTGTTGTATCAATAAGAAGTCAAAAAGTATAGCTTTTAATGACGTTTTCTGTAACATTCCTTTTGCATTCTTAGGAAACCTATCATTCAAAATTAACCAGTAAAAAAGATAACATCCTCCATTGGAGCTGGACATCAGCCATACCTTTAGAGTGTACCTCTCATTATGTCCAGATTCGCTCTTTCCATCACTTGGAAGACTTTCCTGGGACCACATTGTGGAGTGAGTGGAGTCCGTTAGCCAAGATTCCAGGTAAGGTGATGCCGTTGTATGAAGGCTGCTGCAAAGTAGGTTTGCATGTGTGATTGACGGCAGAATGCAGCACATCTGAGTCCTGTGCTTTGGAGCCAGGCACTGCGAGAAAACCTAAATCATCACTGGCTTTGTGCCTGAGAGTGACTGAACAAAAAATTTGCTTCCTTAGCTATTGCTTCTCCATAGCTTTTGTTAAATTTTTCTATTTGTTCAAATTCCAGGAGACTTGATGCCAGTGAGCCTCATTTTACTTGCTTGCTATTTGAGATGCCACAGACTTCAACAATGATGCATTTAAAAGTGAAAATTCCTCTGAGTGGATTTCTCTCTTGAGTCGATCCACCATTAGTCTTGAATTACCAATATATTTCCAATTTAAAATGAGATGTTTCCCGTTACCCCGTTTCCTTTCCATTTGGGATTTGCTTAAGACTCATTCCTAGCTTATTGTGTTGAGGTGAAATGTGCAGCTGTTCAACTGGGTAACTGAGGGAATAATCATAAACTGTGGATGTTTTCCTTCCCCCCACACCAACTCCAATCCTTCCCCTTGTTCATTGCAGGGCAAGATACGGGGAAGATGGATGAGATCAAAGTGTTTCCTAAAGAGGAAGTGCTGCAAGTAGGCTCCAACTTGACTTTCTGCTGCGTGTGGAAGACAGGACAACGTGTAGTCGAATTTCAGTATGGCTCCTCTCCACCTGCCCAGAGCCCACCTATCCGTCTCTCCAACTGGAGTAGTATGATCCATGTGCCAAATGTTAACAAGAGCATTGTGGCTGGGACAAATGCGTGGTGTATAACGGATCCCTATGGTTTTGATGGAGGTCTTGCCTTTGTAGGCTGTAAGTACGCAGCTGGGCAAATGCTTTTATCTTAATTCTTTGCTTCAATGGAATGTAAATGATTGGATTGTTTCTTCTTTGAGGTGGAAATTGGACTGGGTTGTTTTTTTTTTAGTTTAAACCCTGATTCCCCTTCCCCCAAGGATAGGTTGAGCATTTAATGCAGGAAAGTTTGCGGTCATACTATATATAGACTGCCATGTTGGTGTGCCCCAACCCATATATGATTGCCAAGGCCAGGCAGTGGAATACCTCTGTTCTTTTCAGGGTTCTTTGTTGCACTCCTGATTGCACTCCTGATTTGGTAACCCTGTTACTATCCATGGGGAGGGGGAGTAGTTTGCCCATCACTGACCTGGATGGCCCAGGCCAGCCCGATCTCATCAGATCTTAGATGCAAAGTAGAGATAGCCCTGATCAGCATTGGATGGGGGACCATCCAAGGAAGTCCAGGTTTGCTGTGCAGAGGCAGGCAATGGCAAACCACCTCTGAATGCCTCTTGCCTTTGGAAACCCTACAGGGTCCCCATCAGTTGACTGAGAGTGACTTGACAACATTTTCTACCCCCACCACACTGAAACGGAATGTCTGATATTACTGACCTGAAAGCATTAAAAAGCTCTGTGACTTGAGGTTCGATGCGTAGGATAGTACGCATGATTTCTTTTTTTAAAACTTTCTCCTACAGACCCCCCTGATATTCCACAGAACCTAAACTGTGAAACATCAAATTTTAAGGAAATCACTTGTGAATGGAAAGGGGGAAGACAAACTAATCTCTATGGCACAGAGCGAAGGACGAACTATATTTTGTTTGAAAGGTAATCGGGATTGTTTAATATGAATTATAAGATTCTCCAACGTGATATAATTTTAATATGAATTAAAAGGTATTCATGGGATATCATTACACGTTTAGTATGAATTTTAAGATTCTCTAATGTGATATAATTTTAATATCACGTTAGATGATCTTGGCCAGTGCTCTCTGATGTCTCTGCAAAGCCTTGGGGCAGGGGAGGAGGACTTGGCTGGATGGCTCACTGGAAGACCGGAGGATGTGGATTCAGTCGAATTAAGTGCTCCCAGGAAGAGCGCTGTGTCAGAGCAGTCTTCATGTTTAAATTGCTGCAATTAATTTGCAAAATATGGTCTTGTATCCTCCTTGAAAAACCTTTGGAACACGCCTTTTTCCTGCTTTGAAAAAATCCCTGGAACACAGCTTCTATGCTGACTTCTGTGTCAGCAGGACTTGATGTTCCTTTAATTAGGATACACTAATGAGGTGTGAAACGTTTTCCTCTCTAAAGACTCTTCCCGTTTGATGAACTCTCTGCACATAAGGACTGAGTTCCTATTGCTGAACCCTTTAAAGGTTTTGAACTTTACACATGAAGAAACAAAGATTGTAACGTTTCCATGCAATTCTATTATAAATTTTCACATGTTATATGTAATGCGCTATTTATTTAAATATAAAATGAATTCGTAAGAATTGTTAATTATTAAGGTTATCGTGGTTTTTCTCTTTTGGTAAACTGGTGTAACCAGGGAACCCAGCTGTAAACATGAAATCTAAACCCCAGTTATGGTGGTTTTCTGTTGTTCATGGGGCTGAACATTTCACATATTCAGGCTGTCCACTGATAAATATTTGGCAAGAAGAATGGGTGAGCTCGGGGTGGAGAAACTGGGCTACACTTAGATAGGTACTGACCCATAAAGAATTAGTTGCTCTTAAAACCGTTGGTGCCGTTTTCAATCCTGTGCAGAGTTATCCCAGTTGGAGCCCACTGATTTCAGCCAGCCTAAGCAAGAGTAACTCCGTACAGGATCGCCCTGTGAGTTGCAACTAGATCAATGCTGAACATTTCCCACTTCTTAAATTCTGGTCAAACTAATGAGTTTGTTGGGGTAATACTGTCTCCTCCCCATCAATAGGCTGCTCAGATATTCACCTTTTAAAAAGCCAGCTTGTATAATAGTATGACTCTTTTCTAAGCACTCCCCCCCCCCGCGCTGTAGTCTGGTTGTTCCTAGTCACATGGCTGATCCTAGTGAATCTGGGATCGCTTAGTAAACAGCATGATGCCATAACATGGCAGAGTCAATCAAATTTAGCACCATGATAATGCCATTGAGGGCTGCTGAGAATGAAGGCAAAGAAGGGGGACTGAAGTGAGCCTATAAGCATTTCCCAAATCATGCCATAAAGTTTCTGAAAAGGAAGCTCCTGCCACTAGGCCGTGCTAAAAACGATTGAGCAAAACCAGTGGCGCAGCCTTCATTGCCTCCGAGGTTTCATCAGTTACAAGGGGACATAAGTGGTGTAGTTCTTAGGGTATGGGGATCTGGAAGACCCCGGTATGAATCCCCACTCTGCCATGGAAACTTGCTTGATGACCTTGGGCCAGTCACATGCACACTCACAGGACTGTTGTGAGACTACAATGGGAGGCGAGAAGGAGAATGATGCAAGCTGCTTTGGGTCCCTACCGGGGAGAAAGGCAGGGTATGAATGAAGTAAGTAAATAAAATTAACCTTCTCTGGATTGGGGGCCGTTGGCTTGAATGGAAAGTGTGAAGAACATAGGAGGGAAGAACAAGAAAGGAAGCAAAGGTTAGAATATAATTGCTGTGTGGATAAATGAGATAAGCATGTAAAACGGGACAATACCTGATCGCAACAGAGCCTTAAAAAAAGGAAGAAGAAAACTTTATGCTGCGCTGCCATGGAAACTTGGGCCAGTCACATGCACACTCACAGGACTGTTGTGAGACTAAAATGGAGGCGAGAAGGAGAATGATGCAAGCTGCTTTGGGTCCCTACCGGGGAGAAAGGCAGGGTATGAATGAAGTAAGTAAATAAAATTAACCTTCTCTGGATTGGGGGCCGTTGGCTTGAATGGAAAGTGTGAAGAATATAGGAGGGAAGAACAAGAAAAGAAGCAAAGGTTAGAATATAATTGCTATGTGGATAAATGAGATAAGCATGTAAAACAGGACAATACCTGATTGCAACAGATCCTTAAATAAAGGAAGAAGAAAACTTTATGCTGCGCTAGTAAGGGCTTTCTTTACATTGGACCCAGGGCTTCTAGTTCTTTTATACTCAGTAGAAAAGAGCAAGAGTCCAGTAGCACGGTGAAGACTAACAAAATTTGTGGCCGGGTATGAGCTTTCGTGAGTCACTGCTCACTTCTTCAGTTCACTGGGTTGGATCCAGTGTAAGAATTGCAATTTTTCCTGGCTTTCCCTTTCCCCCAGCAGTTTTTTTTCCAGACCCAGGAAGGTTTATTTCAAGGGTTGTGGAGCCTGCATGGTGTCATAGTCATGTGGGTCAGGAAGCTTCAGTGGAAGGGAGAACACCACTCACAGAGAAAGGCGGGAGGGATGGGTTTTGGTCTTCTGACTCCTGTGGCTTTTACCCTGCTTGGGTCCTACAACCCCAGGACTAAACTGTCCCGGGCTGAGAACAGAGTGCTGGGGAAGGGGAAAAGCTGGAACGATTGGCAGCCATCACTGTTGTCTTTTGACAGGTTGTGAGATCCAGTTAACTGTACTTTTTAGAATGAGTGTATGTTTATTTTCTTTAATTCATTCCTGATATATTCTAATTATGTTGCCCTTTGAGCGGATAGTAGAAGGTTGTTACCAAATGTATTGTTGGGAACTGAATATCAGTTCTCACCTTCTTGTTTTTAAATTTTGCAGTACATCTGGGAAAAATGTCATATATAATGGAAAAGAAAATCCTGAATACTATCGCTGTAATTTTCCAGTTCTCGACCGTCAGAGAATATATAACTTTACAGTCCGTGGCTCCAATCCTCTTGGTCAATCGGAATCCTCTATTTTAATTGATATAAATTATAGAGGTAAGATTTTTTTTCTAGTCGGCACCAAAAAATCAGTCCATTGTGGGCTCACACAAGAAGAAACGTTCATTCAGAAACCAGTTTTTCCCCTTCCAAACCTCCATGAAATGTTTAAAAAAATAAGCACATCATTTATATCTTTAGGCTTTCTCTGCAGTTCCCCCCCTTATGACTAATATAAATCTTGTGCTAGTTTTCTAATTCATTGGGCGGTGGTATAATATCCAAAGTAGTGCTTCTCTACATTTGAACTTAGTGTAGCAATATACCAGGGACAAAACTTGAGGTAGCTAGTAGTCCCCAGCCCAAAAGATGTCCATCTAGCTTCAGCCAGGGCCAGGGAGTTCTCCACCCTGGCCCCTACTTGGTGGGATGAGCTCTGGATAGAGATCAGGGCCCTGATGGATCTTTTACAGTTCTGCTGGGCCTGCAAAATGGAGCTCTTCCACCAACTTTTAGTTGAGACAGCAGGCATCTCATAATATCGGGCCCCTCCTGCTCATATTGCTGGATTGAGCTGCTCATATTTCTGGATTGGGCTGTTTCTTACAGCGTGGGAACCCACAGTTCAGACCTTTATATTCTTTACATCGCACAGAGCCAGGATATCAGGAAATTTTAAAAACACCACCTTGTACAGTGTTCTTATGGTTTTAGTATGATGTTTTAATGTCTCAAAGCTGTTGTTGTTTATATCATATGCTGTAAGAGCCCTGAGGGATAGAAATCAAATAAATCGTATCAAATCAATTTACTTGTACTGTGACACAGAACCTGTTATTCTCCCTCAGCTTTACCCAAACCAGTGTTTTCCTTAGGATAAAGCTGACCCCTGTGTAACAAATAGGTTTGGGTGGGTGACGTGGTCCAGCCTGGACGCAGAGGAGGACTTTGAGGAGGCAGCTGTATGTCAGTAGTCAGATGTCACAGGAGGAAGTCCTAGTTGGCCCCCTTCAACAAGTGTCCCCAGACTAAGAGGAAGGCAGCAGATTGGAGAGCTGTTAAATCGGCCACAGATGTTAAATTGGCCCTTTCCCCCCAAAAAAAAACCCCTCCCAAAGCCCGAAGGATTATGGTCAGCTGTGTCAATGTCCAAGCTGTATTTCCTCCTCTGATCTGTTGATCTTTTCCTCCCTCTAGTTTGTCCACAGACCCCTACAGCATTAACCGTGATTAACAGTAGCGCAACTCACATCATTCTGTCCTGGCATCTCTCTGGCAATTTGACAGCAATTATGCTTCGGTGTCTGGTTCAGATTAACAGTAGTGAGGCCGTAGAAGGTTTGGTAGGTACCTTTTGTTTTGAATCTGTGTGTTTGTGTGTGTGATTCACCTGCCTCTTGTTTCAAAAACCGGGGTTTAATCTTACCAGTTTTTTTAATGGCCTGATCTGTTTTATGGATAGCTTTTATACTGCTTGTGTCTGATGGCTTGTGTACTTTAATGGCTTGGGTTTTTTATACTGAGGTTTTCATTGTAAACTGCCTCTAGCAGGACTCTGAAGAGGGCAGCATAGAAATATCCAAAATAAATAACAAGAGATGTGTTATACCTTTTTATTAGGACCAACCAAAATGGCACTGTTCAAGCTTTGGAAGTCTCCAGAGCTCTTCATCAAGCTGGGTGTCCCCCCACCAAAAAAACCCCTATAAAGTGGGGGGAGGTGTCAATGTTCCCTCTAAGCTGTGGAGTCTTGTGAGCAAAGATTCTGGGTTGTGAGCTACTGGCATTAAAGTTTTGAGTGAGCGATTTGGCTGCTGCATAAATTAGTTTGCTCTGGAGCCACCCTTCCTGAGCGAAGACAGAAATGTATGAGCCAGAGGCTAAAAACCTGTGAGCTAGCTCACACTAACTCAGCTTAGAGGGAACACTGGTAGGTGTGAAGCTCAACATTTTACAGATGATGCTGTGACAAGATAAGGTCTTAAGATCATGACCTGAGACATATTTTCTTCCCCACCCTTTTAATTTTTTGTTAATATCCAGCCCAATGAAGAGTTCTAGAGCTTGAACACTGGGACACTGTGCTGTGTCATTTTGGTAGCCCTACTATTATTTATTTAGACTTATTAGGCTGCCCTTCCCTGTGAGGAGGGCTCCAGGTGGCTTACATCAATAAAAATACAATAATGCTAGACTTAAAGCAGCATTAAGTTCCAACAACCACAGTAAAACAGTACAATCCAAGATGGTGATAAATTTCCAATACCCTCTTGCCCCCCTGGGTTTCGCAAAATGCAGAGCAGTGGGAAGGGGTGTGTGATATGAGAGTGCCAGGCCGTCGCTGTCCTCAACCAAATTCCTGATGGAACACCTCTTCCTTGCAAGCCCTACGGAATGGTAACAGATCCCATAGGGCATGGATGTCCTCAGGCAGAGAGTTCTACCAGGTAGGGGCCAGGGCTGAAAAGGCCCCGGCCTTGGTCGAGGACAGCCAGTCTTGGGCTGGGGACTACCAGGAGGTTCTTATTTCCAAATTGTAATGCTTTTCCTGGGACATATTGAGAGAGGTGGTCCCAAAGATATGTGGGTCCCTGACCGCTAAAGGCCTTGAAGATCAAAACCAGAACCTTACTAAAAGCATTTGGTCTTGTGTTTGGATTTTTGCTTTGTTGAAAGTCAGGTGGGAATGACTGATTGCATTGGCCCTGCCTGTGTAGCTCTGCCATTCAATACATACGTTTGCAACTCTATGAGTAACACCTCAAGGAAGTCGTTTCTGCACCGTTATGGCTATGTGTGAAAGGACCCTTCTGATTGTAAGCTCCTTGGGGTTGGAAGGAGGAGGGGGTGCTTTTGGTCCTGCCGTCCTGTAAAGCACCCATGTAGCTTTAGTATTGTGCAAATATATGATGCCAGCAGTTCTATTCCTAGCAATCTAGCACTGCTATTGGAAATTTTATTTCAGTTTACTGACATACAAACATAAAAATGTTTTAAAAACATTTTTTAAATTGCAGAATGTTCAGCTGAATGGTACCGAAAATTCGGATTACTCGGTCTCCATGGAGAAATTTCGCCCCTACACAAAGTATGCTTTCCAAGTTCGTTGCTCAGCTGCTGAGCCCTTCTTCTGGAAGTGGAGCAAATGGAGTGAGAGTATACACCACACAACTCTGGAAGCCCGTAAGTTTAATGAGTAATGGGATGTTTTTCAAATCCAGGCATGGAAAAAGTCGTGGTTGAGCCAGGAAACGCAAGTAATGTAATTTGAAGGCAATTTAAACATCCCTGCTTAGGGAAAGCTCCTCTCAATTCAGAGCAGCATGTGGATTTGCAGATCATAAATCTTCCTCTCGAATTTAGAAATACTTGAATTATGGTCTTCTTTGTGTCAGTTTTGAAATTCCAGTGTCTGAAACTCAAACTGCAGTTGCCCTCCACAGATGGCACTATATGTACTGAAATCAGTTTATATGTGGGGGGGGGGGGAGGCATGAGCAAACTGGCCCTGCATCCTGTCTATATGATCCTTGACTCTGGCACATAGGCTGTAAGGCCAAGCTCAGGAATGTTCTGCTCATGGGGATGGAACCTGCGTGCATACACTTACTTCACACAGAGCTTCCGTGCTCCATAGGGTGGAGCACATTTGTGTCTGCTCTCCCTCTGCAGTGATTTCAACATGTCAAGTCATTGGAATCAAGCAGCACATATGGAGTTTTAATCATAGATGACCTACATAAAGCTTGAGGTGTCAAAAATCAGATTGTTTCCTAGAATCGTTAATCTGGCATTTTTTAATTGAAAATGTGTTCTGTTTTAGATGTTTAATATTTGGAAAAGATCTCCTTTTAACGAAATGGCAGCCTAGTGGCATTTTAAAATGGTTCACAATTTGTTAAAAAGGAAGTAACGGACATCTGTTTCCTCAATTTAAAGCACACGGTACAGACGGAAATCGATACGCATCATGTTTAATAAAGCAGATTTAAAGGAATTTTTCCCTCTTAAAATTGGTGTTTTAGATTTGTTGCCATAGCATGGGCTAATGGTATATTCTGTTGGGGGGGGGGGATCTACAGTTTTATGCAAATCAGAATTTTACTTCTTTATATTCAGTTATATACATATGCCTTTCTGTCTGTTCCTTCCTCCTCTTCTTTTGCATAATCCCTGTGTCTTAATATACATACATGTGTATACATTTGCAAACCCCTGTCTTACACACTTTTATTTACACCATAATAGCTGATGAACACCTGATCTATTCCGCTGTACCCCTGCCGAGGAAACATAAGTTCATAGCGTACTGATTATACTTGAAAGTTGGGTGACTTGAAATGTTCATACACATACCGTAGTATCTTGACAGCTGAGCCAATAGAAGACTTAATTTTGAGTGCTCACAGCCACTAAAGCCTTTGTAATTAAAGACCGCAAGTGGTACTTATATCTGGTTCTCCCTCCTCCCCATCATATTTGTCTGATATTGGGGGGTGCAAGTGAACAAAACCACTTTTTCTGCAAATGTACATGTTTTGTGCTTTGCCGTATCACTGTTCTCTCCTTGACCACAGTCAATGTGCTAAAAGATCACACAAAGCTGGCTTTGATGCTCAGTAGATGTACCTCCTTTTGAGAAACATGAGGCTGTGGGAAGCAGTCGGCAGGAATGATTTCTGTGGTGTTGAGTACTGGCCATCGTTGCAAGCAGATGGTCTGGCCCCCAAGGGAAGGACTTGGTGTCAGCTGATAACAAGTCATAGTTTATTTTGTGTAATTAAAACTGTCCTTTCCTAGCTCCGGCAAGAGGACCAGATGTTTGGCGAGACAGAAGTCCTGATGGAAAAACTGTAAACATCTTTTGGAAGGTACCCTTTGTTTGTTTAGTCGTGTTGTTCAATTTTTGCTGTTTCCAGATGTGGTGCTGGTCATCTGTAAACCACTGAGCCAATTTACACAGTTGTCTCTGGTGAGGAGATGTTCCTCCCCTCAGGATGGGCGCGCAAACCGTTTTGTGATAACATGAAAGGTTACCATGTTCTGAATGAAATGTCTGACAGATTTCAGTCTGCAGTAGCTATTGCCGTATGGTAGCTCTTTTCCAAGACCAGGTTGTTATGTGTGTCTGGGGCATCATATCGCTCCTGCAATGAAAGACCTTCACTGGCTGCCAGGAGTCCCCATCCCCATCGTTTTCCTTGTTGGAAATGTATGTGTTTACAAGGTCTGACAATCCAGTCATTATAGAGTTAACTTGTTTGCCTAGTATTGCTATTGTTTGGACTGACCTGGAAGGGAAACCTGGCACAGAGCCAATGGGGAATTAGCCCGGGAAAAGTAGCTTCTATTGTGATACAAATGGGTTGTTTGTTTCAGGTGACTTCCTTTCTAGGGGTCGAGAAGAAGGACAGATTCTCCATTATCTGTGTGTAGTGTATAACAATGATTTGAACTGTCAGCAGCTTAGAAAATGTAGCTCTTAGGAGTTTGTTATTTTGTAGGTTTCCCAAATACCTTTTACCCTTAGAAATAAAGGTTTTTAAATGCAAATAAATCTCTTCTTTCCAACAGAGCAAGATCCATTGATACTCTGAGTATTTTAAATACTTTTGACTATTTTACAACATTCCTAAGGGTACCCCCTTAATTCCTCCCATGTAAATAAGTATTTGTAATACTCTTCTAATGTAAATGAAAATCACTGCCCCGAAAGCAGGGGCCCTGAGCCCTCAAAGTGCAAGAGGCAGAAGAAGGAGAGCTTTTTTTATATACCCTGCTTTTCTGTACTTTAAGGAGTCTCAAAGCAGTTTACAATCGCCTTCCCTTCCTCTCCCCACAACAGTCACCTTGTGAAGTAGGTGGGGCTGAGAGAGAACTGTGACTGGCCCAAGGTCACCTAGCAGGTTTCATGTGAAGTAGCAGGGAATCAAACCCAGTTCTCCAGATTAGCATCCACCACTCTTAACCACTGCACCGTGCTGGCAGGTGAGGAGGAGAAACTGAGAACTCTTGGGCTGCATGCAGTCTTCTCAGTGGCTTCAGTCTGTGACACTAACAGCTCTTCTGAAGCAGACTGGTGGCTTTAAGAGCCTGGCAGCTTACAGTCTTGAGACACACTCTGCTTCTCATAGCTGTCTCCAGAGAGCATGGAAGTCTGGTGTTTCATGGAGACCCTTGCTGGCCTTGCTGGCCCTGGCAAATGCGTGACCTTACTGCTCTCCGGAACTGGCAGTGAAATGCAGAATGTCTGTGTGAGGCCCTGGAAGCAGCTGGTCTGCTAATTTTGGAGAGGCTCTGTCTGAGGAGAAGGGCTGCAAAGAGGTTAGATTATTGTAGCAAAATGAAACAGACTTCTAGGGCTGCCTGGATAGAATGTTAAGAACGGCACCATCAGACTGTCTCTTTCTTCAGCACTGAGGCATGAGAGTTGGGTTTTGTTTTGTTTTCTTCTCCTCGTCAAGTCACAGCTGGCGTACAGTGACCCTGTGAGGTTTTCAGGGCAAGAGACATTAAGAGGTGGCTTGCGTGCCTCTGGTCTCTACCCTAGTATTCCTTGGTGTTCTCTCATCCAAGTACTGACAAGATCCACGCCAGCCTGCGCTAGCTTGGTCAGGGCATGAGAGTTGCACCTGACAGAGTTTACCCACGGTCTGAAGACTGAGAGACTGTCATATATATATATGTATGTATGTATGTGTATGTGTGTGTGTGTGTGTGTATATATATATATATATGAATCAGTAAAGTCTATTGCATAGATAGAACATCATCAATTTTAAAAAAATTATGTTCAATTAAAAACCCTTTAGACTAGGGACTTGTACCTCCTCTGATCCCCATAATTAAACCTGACCTGCCTTGCTAGAATTCCTCATAAGTCATCTGGATGCAGAGCCCATAGACCCTCACAGATCTCTCTGCCACCAAAGCTTTTCCTTGTCATGACAGACATTTTGTTTGCAACCTAGTAGGGCCTCGCCCAGAGCTCCTAAAATGCCCTGAAACAAGCAAAACTGAGCCTGTAGGGTTTTTAAAGGCCCTCAAAAGTTCCTTTATTGTTGTTGTCACATACTGCCTTTCCCCCACATTTCCTTCAACTATTTTTGTTTCCTTCACAATGTCTTTCTCAATAGCCACTACCTGTTTCTGAAACAAATGGATTGATACAGAATTATGAAGTGTGTTGGTTTGAACCAGATAAGGGTTCGATGCATAACGCCACGGTTCCTGCATACCACAACAGCACTACAGTAAATATTGAGGGAAAAGATTATGTATTTCAAGTTATGGCAAAGAACAAAGCGGGCTCCTCTCCTCCTTCTCAGATAAAGAGTGCAGAAGTTTCGACTGGTAAGTACAACATCAAGCAGAGAATCTGGGAATGTGGTGTGAGCAGCCTTTCAGAGATGTAAGAACTTGGAATGTGTGTCTAAAAATTATAAGAAATGGAATTTGAGCAGGTATAGCTATTCTCATCTTTCATAGCAAACTGCCTCTGCAGAAAACGTCTGCAGAGACCCAGCGTGATGTAGTGGTTAAGAGTGGTGGATGCTAATCTGGAAAACCGGGCTTGATTCCCCGCTCCTCCACATGAAGCCTGCTGGGTGACCTTGGGCCAGTCACAGTTCTCTCTCAGCCCCACCTACCTCACAGGGTGACTATTGTGGAGAGAGGAAGAGAAGTTACAGTTCTTTCAGAACTCTCTCAGCCCCATAAGATGCCTGTTGTGGTTCTGTCTGAGGAGAAGGGTTGCAAAGAAATTAGACTATTATAGCAAAATAAAGGAGGAAGGGAAGGCGATTGTAAGAGAAAAGCAAGGTATAAAAATGGAACTCCTCCTTCTTTTACGCAACTGCTAAATGAATGGAAGTCCTGCTGTGTTCCATTCTGTGTGGTCTTCTAGGAAACAACAAATACAACAAAGAGGTTAAGCAGAGGCACTTGGGACATCTCTGTCAGTTTCCATCACTGGTTATCACGGGATGGACAGAAATGTAGGACTTGCAGGGAATCACATATATTGTGGGCAGTGTTCCCTCTAAGCTGAGTTAGTGTGAGCCAGCTCACAGTTTCTTAGTCTCCAGCTCACACATTTTTGTCTTAGCTCAGGATGGAAGGATGGCTCCAAAGCAAACTGATTTATGTAGTAGCCAAACCGCTTGCTCACAACTTTAATGCCAGTAGCTCACAAAGTAGAATTTTTGCTCACAAGACTCCACAGCTTAGAGGGAGTATTGGTTGTAGGGTGGTAGCCTTCAGCCTATTGGCTGGGACCCTCAGGTAGATTGCAGTCGCACATGCTGAACTGTGAGCCCCTGCATAGTTGCCTGTTGGAAGGTCCTGCTGCTAGAATGTGAAAGTGCCACTGCTGCTGTTTCTTATTGCAGGTGTGCCTGGAATATGTGCACAGGTGATTTTCTCCCTTGGCCCATGCAATAAAGGCCTTAAAAAGCCTTGGATCTGTGGGACTGCCTCTTCCTATATGCTGCTCAGAGAGCATTACGCTGAACTGGTACCAACTTGCCGGTAGTCCCTGGTCCCAAAATAGTCAGGCTATCCTCAACCAGGGCCAGGGCCTTTTCAGCCCTGGCCCCAACCTGGTGGAACTCTCTCCCTAGTGAGATCCAGGCCCTGTAAGACTTGGCTCAGTTCCACAGGGCCTATAAGGCTGAGATATTCCACTGGTCATAAGACTAAGGACAGGGATGGCTAGAGAGATCAGTGGCCTCCCAGGTCTCCCCCTCCTTTATATTCTACTCTCTCCTGTTTAAGACCCCCCCCCCCATGAGGGGAATACAGACTGTATGCCAGCCACCTCAGGTAATTGTGGGATAGACATACGATGCCATTCAATTTTAACTGTACTGTATGTATTTTATTATTAGTTTATGTGTATTATATATTGTACGCTGTGGTGGCTCAAGTGGTTAAGACGCTGAGCTGCAGGCTGTGGAAGGTCGGTAGTTCAGCAGTTCGAGACCCGAGTGTGCCGCATGACGGAGTGAGCTCCCGTCTCTAGTCCCAGCTCCTGCCAACCTAGCAGTTCTAAAGCAAGAAATTGCAAGTAGATAAATAGGTACCACTTCGGTGGGAAGGTAACAGCATTCCGTGCGCCTTGGTGTTTAGTCATGCCGGCCACATGACCACGGAAATGTCTTCGGACAGCGCTGGCTCTTCGGCTTTGAAACGGAGATGAGCACCGCAACCCTAGAGTCGGATTCGACTGGCTTTCAAGCAAGGGAAACCTTTACCTTTACCCTGAGTCCTGCTTGCAGGAAATGGTGCAGGAGAGAAATCAAACTAAACTAAACTGGGAGAAGGAGTTGATTGCAGTGGATGAAGGATCCATGGAAACTGAATGAGTAGACGAATTCTTGGGAGCCCTGGGGCTGGTCTGAATGAAAGAGGATCTCTTGTTTGGATAGTTCAGTTGATGTAGGACCTAGTTTGTCCACTTAATGTGTCTAAGGCTACACTTGTGGAAAGAAAGGAGACAACAGTGTTTTGGCTTTCAGTGACTTTCACCAGAGATCTATGAAAGGACTATTGTCTATCTAAATCTCTAGGAAGAAGGAAGAACATGCTGCCGGTAGTATGATTAAAAATGACAGTGAGGCATGTGGGTTGGTATGGAGAATGAAGCAGTAACAGTGAAGAACAAGCGTGTTGTGACTCTTGCCCATATGAATAGCTCCATCTAGAGCTCAATTTTGTCAACCCTTGTTCTAGAGTCCAGTCATTGTATTGATAGCGCTTAAAGAGTTAGAGTCCTTCCAATCCTGAGACAGTGTTGTTTTCAAAGGTCTGTCCCCTATCTCCTTGTGAAGGAAGATGCTGAGAGGCTCGGCAGTAGATGGTAATGTCTGTAAAGATATCTTTAAATTGTCAGGTGTTGAAGAGATTATTCTCTGTTCTTCCAAAACGCCAGTCCCTGAGGGGTCAACTGATCGTGGTCTTTCTGAAACAGCTTGCAAGAATTCATCGGGTCTCTTATTAGCACTGGAAATAAGAGCAGGAGAATTAGCAGAAGAATTAGCATCATCAGTAGGACCAGTCCTTTCTAAAGGACGAGAGGCTAGTTTCTTAGCACAGATATTAATTGCTGTACTGTACTTGAGCATTGCGTCTTCACAGACCATGGTGGAATTTTGTTCTGAAAACAGTATCTGTGCTGCTGGCCTTCCTTACATAAGAACATAAGAGACGCCAATGTTGGATCAGGCCAAAGGCCCATCCAGTCCAACACTCTGTGTCACACAGTGGCCAGAAATACCAGGTGCCATCAGGAGGTCCACCAGTGGGGCCAGGACATTAGAAGCCCTCCCACTGTTGACCCCCCAGGCCACTGTAGACCCCCTCCCACTGTAGCTCCCAGGCCACAGACAAAATGAGTACAGCCTGAAAGCCAGATGTGGACAGGAAAACAGTGATACCACTCAGCTGCTGGCTTAGTTTTGCTGTTTTGACCTGGCAACTCTACCACTCAGCTGCATTGACTATTATGCCCTCAAGGGTTTTTCTTACATCCCAGAAGGAGGAAGGGATGTAGGAAACATCTCGCCTCCACACCAGCTGTGACCCGTACGTGAGACCTCTGGAATCCAATTCCCGTGCCACAATCCCCCGTGGGACGTGATTCACACTTTCAGTCTGATACACTATGAAGGCAATTATCATCCATTACATATTTTCCACGTGTCTATAAGTTGAGGTTTTCAACTTGTGTCCCAGGGAACCCTGGAACCTTTTCAGGATTTCCTCATCAAGAAGATTTGTAAGGGTTGACAGGCTTTTATGGAAGAAAACAGCTTGCCCACCCGTTAGTGACCGTGCCACAATCCCCCGTGGGACGTGATTCACACTTTCAGTCTGATACACTATGAAGGCAATTATCATCCATTACATATTTTCCACGTGTCTATAAGTTGAGGTTTTCGACTTGTCTCCCAGGGAGCCCTGGAACCTTTTCAGGATTTCCTCACCAGGAAGATCTGTAAGGGTTGACAGGCTTTTATGAAAGAAAACAGCTTGCCCACCCGTTAGTGAAGAATTATTTTAGGGAATTTCTCTCTTGTGTTCCATTGTGGTTAAAATAATATGCAGAATGGATAACAACTGGACAGAAGCAAACAAAACAGATCATGCTAAAACTGTGGCTACAGTAAACTTGCAACACTTTTTATTAGAATCAACCCAGTGACATATAGAAGTATGCAAGCTTTTGTGTTTCCCAGGGCTGTTAATCAGTCCAGATGTTAAATTAAAAAAAAAATCTTCTCCCCTTCCCTTTTATGACGTTAAAATCTTTTAATGCCAATATAGGTATAGTCTCTGACCTGGGCTGGTTCACCCGTCCCTGGGCAATCTGGTGGGCCACACCTCCCAATACTGATGCTGAACTTAGTGCAAACACCCAACTGCATAGCTCACTGCAGCCCAGAACTCCTGAGTTCAAGCAATTTGCCGGCTTCAGCCTCCTCGGCAGCTGGGATTACAGGTTCATGCCACCACGCCCAGCTGATATGCATAATCTTAAAACCATGATCTAAGAAAATCTGGGTTTTTTAAATTAACATCTGGACTGATGGAGAGTTCTGAAGAACTCACTAGCTCGTAGAAGTGCAAGATCGAGTACAGTAGCCCCTTAAAGACCAAAAAGATTTCCAGGGTAGAAGCTTTGCTAATAAAGAGTAGCTTTGATTCTTGACAGTTTATATATACCCTAGAAATCTTGTCGATCTTTAAGGGGCTATTGGACTCGATCATGTTCTTCCACAAGTTATTGAGTTCTCCAGAACTGTACATCAGTCCAGACGTTAATTTAAAAAAACAAAATACCTGAAGAAGTGAGCAAAATTGAGCTCAACATCCTGCCACAATTTTTTTAGCCTTTAAGGTGCTACCGGACTCTTCCTCTTTTCTTCTGCTTCTGGAATCAGTCTTGCTGTTCTACTGCAGACCAACAAAGCTACCCACCGAAAACTATCAAAAGCCAGTACATTATTGTGTGTCACTGGATTGCTTTTAATCAAAGCTATTACATGGATTCTGAATTTTTGGGCTTTGATATTTTTGGGCCAACATGGCTATAAACAACTTGTCTACAGTAAACAAGAACTATTAAAACCCAGTTATTACTGAAAACAATTCATCTAATAGCAGCAAAGCATAGCCATAAAAGAAGCAAACAATGAAATAAACATCCACCACAGTTCAGGAAATAAAATGAGGACAAAGCCCTTTGGAACAAGACACTTTATTTCTACGAGGCTAGAAACAACGATGGCAGGGTGGACCATCTGGCAGGCAAGCAACACCCGAAGCTGGGGGCCACCATGCAAAACTCACTGCAAGGAAATACACTCTTTTTCTAGGTTGCTCAGCCAAGGCACAGCAGCGGTGACAACCCAACTTTCCTAGCTAGGGCTCGGCCTAAAATGAGGATGTTCCTTAGAACATATCCCATAATCCTCTGCCCAGAGGCTGGCAGACTGGTGGAAACAGAAGGATTTCCCTGTGAGTAGAAGCTCAAAAACCACAAATGTGGCAGTGCACAAACAAGTGTTGTTAAAGCTCCCTATATGCTAGATGTCCTCCCTATCTCCATCGTGAATTCGCTCGCCTTTGCTCACATTGGGGTGGATCTTACCAGGATTTCTGCTTGTTCTCGTCAAATTCCCCTTCCCTCTGCAGCTACCATCCTTCTTGGCTTTTGTCTGTATGAGTCCATGATCCCGGGAAGAGCCTTTTCACCAGTGGGAAAACAGATGGGATCCAACCCATTGAGTAAACAAAATGGCAAACATTTCTTTTAAAAAAATTTTTTTGTGTGTGTCTGCAGCTGGAAGTCATGTTGACCTCTGGTGACTTGACCTCTACCGGGGGGTGGAGGATATTCAGAGGGGTGGCTGAATAAAGCCTGCCCCTGTCCGCCTGACTTGGTCTTCCAAGGAAATCTCCCATCCAACTACTAACCACAGTCGACCCTGCTTAGTTTCTGAGGACTGACGAGATCAGGTTTGCCTGGGCTATCCAGGTCAGGGCAAAATGGCAGACATTTTGGTTTTAAATAAAATAAAGTAACTCTCTGGGGACCAAAGAAGGGACTTTGTCCTTCAGAACTGTAGGATGGTCCAGGTGTCTGTTTTCTGTGGCTGTGAGCTAAACGAAGAGCTGGCAATTCTTACTCCTTGTTAGACGCTACTTAGGAACAAGGTTTGAGTGTCTGTCTCTGTCTGCGGCACCCCACGCTGTAACTCATTTCTGAAGCACTGTGAGTCATGGATTGCAGTCATGAAGTGTGACTCACCCAGAAAGTTGCAGGAGGAATAAGTTGGCAGCTTGTTTTTGAACTGCATTCTGTGCATTCTACAAATACTTTGGAGGCCCAGAAGAGAGAATGATGCTTTTGATTTCATTCGAGGTGTGTTGCGAGTTTCTGTGAGCTCTTTGGAAGGGAGACAGGAGCAATATGTCACTTCTGACTAACAGCCGCATATGATGAGGAAGGTAAGGCCCACAGAGATCAGTGGCACTTACTCATGAATAAAGTTACACAAGATGGAAGTTTTCTCTGTGTGGTCTTAAGTGTGTGGTAAACATTTCAACTATGGGTCTTTTACCAAACGGATGCAGTCCTACATATATTTCTTGTGAGTAGGTTCTAGTGAGACTTGCCTGTGTCATTTGGGTTCTTTGAGGTAGGAAATTTTCTAGCTTCCATAAACTTACCAAGTTCACTTGTGATATGCCACTGGTAGCTAGAAATAAATATTATCGCAGTAAGCTCCTGCACTAAACAGATCTCCTCCACCCCGCCCCCGGTTCTCTGTCATATGCCAGTTCAAGTCTATATTTGGTATTTGTCGGTGTTCCAGGCTGAGCAGCTAATGGATCAGCAGTCTTAAGTATTGCATTAGCTACTGACAAAATCATAGGGAAGGAAGGGAAAATGTATGCTGGAAAATGTATTTAGCACGCCCATCCTAAAGGCATTTTACTTGTAGGAACTATTAAGGGTACTACATAAAGTAATACTTGTTTACTTGTTTCATACAGTTTGTTTTGGTTAAGACATGTCGCTTGCTCCACAGTCTGTTTTATCCAGACTGATTCCTAATAGAGAGCTGGAAAATCTGAATTTAAGCCAATACAGTCCTGATGAGCTTTTAATAGACTGAAATCTGATTTACTTGCCCCAGTACAAGCAGATATTAGGTCGGTGTGCCCCGTATCTTGTTACGAAAATACCTTTGCATGTGCTCTAACAGTGTAGTTCCCTAGTATAAGAGAATGGAAATAATAATAATGGAAATCTTGTATCTCTGTCCATCTGTGAAAAGCAAATTGTGTGTGTTGACAGCTTTGATTTGGATTGGGTGGATACGAAATGTTCCTTTAACAGGCTGTGTGGGCCCTGGGATAGGTAATGGGCAAATCTGTAATTTCTGACCAGTCACCCCAATTATGTATCAGGCTACCTGGTCAGCCACAATTACAGAGGTGCTGCAGGCTGAAGAATAAATCTGTAGCTGTGACTGCAGCAGTCACATGCAAAGGTGTCTTAAGTTCAGATTGTCTTCAGTAGGAAATGGGCGCTGTACTAAACATCTCTGGTCTGCCTCTTCTTCCCTTCTCACTTGAAAAGGCATTCGGTTTCCTGGGGGAAGGACATGAAAGTAGCAGTTAAGAGTATATTTATTTACAGAATTTATACCCTGTCTTTCTGCCCTCATCAGGGCCACCAAGACAGCGAATAGATTAAAGGCACACATAATTAAAAACACATTTTAAAAACCATTAAACCCCCGTGTCATTAAAACCAAGTGAAGATCCACACATGCAAACATAAAAACAATTAAAATGACATGAAGGAGCGATCACTGAGGGAACACCAGATGAAACAAAGAAGTCTTCACGTGCTGACAGAAGACTGCAACAGAAAGGGACTGGAAGGCCTCTCTAGGGATAGTACCAGAATTTTGGTGCCACACAATTGCCACCATTCTAATCTCAGAAGGCAAGGGGGGCTTCAGAAGATGCCTCCCAATCCCAGCCTGGAAAGATGGCCCAGAAGGACACCATTATCAATGGTCTCAAAAATCTCTGAGAGGTCCGGTAAAATCAACAGAGTTGTCCTGGGGGGGGGGGGCTGTGGTGTACTCCCAGTGTAGGTCATTTACGAGTCCCGTAAACAGCCCTGAAACCAGATTCATCTGGAACATGCTTGCGATTGAGACCAGGGCCCTGCAAGACCTGTTGCAGGTTCACAGGGCCTGTAAAACAGAGCTGTTCCGTCAGGCCTTTGGCTGAGACAGTGAACATCTACCAGCAGGCCTCCCTGCTGCTGCTACATGAGACCATCATGGCTCGGCATCGGCCCTCTTATTTTCCCGGCTGTAGAAACTGGAATTAAATGCATTGCACTGCCCATTCTAAATATTATAATTGGTTTTATTGTACTATTTCATTGTATTATCTTAGATTGTTTTATATTTATTGTTGTGAGCCGCCCTGAGCTCATTCATGGGAAGGTTGGGATATAAATTGAAATAATAAATAAATAAAAATAAATAAATAAAAGTTGTTCCGCCACCACCTATTCAGTCACCTGGCTCAAAAATGGAACACTTGAGACTGGTTGATATTTACTGAAATACGAAGCTCTGGAAGGGGGGGGGGGGGAGGAAGTGGAGAAATAATAATAGTAGTAGTAGTAGTAGTAGTAGTAGTAGTAGTAGTAGTAATTACCCTGCCCTTCACTTGGACTTTTGAAGCTTACCAATCTCCTTCCCTTCCTCTCCCCACAACAGACACTCTATGAGGTTGGTGGGGCTAAGAGAACTCTGAGAGAACTGTGACTGACCCAAGGTCACCCAGCTGGCTTCATGGGGAGGAGTGGGGAATCAAACCCGGTTCTCCTGATTAGAGTCCGCACTCTTATCTCTACACCAAACTGTGTGATGCTCTAAATGGGTGGTTTTTGTGCAGCTTTAATTTTAGAGGGGGGACTTGTTAGGCATCAAAAGGTATGCTGTTGTGATGGTTCTCTATACATTTGTATTGAACAGGTAGGAAAAGAAGAGTCTAAATAACTGAATACATGAAGAAAGTCTCAAGGACTAACTTTAGGCACTCTCTGTGTTTCAGGCAGTCCCACGACTGAAGAGGGTTTTGCAACAGGGGATGGGGTTTCCATTGATTGGCTCCGTGATCCTGAAGTCACCTGTGGCTACACAGTGAGATGGTGTCATCCGACTGGGCCTGAACACTGTGTTGTCGACTGGGAAACGTTTCCTTCCAATGTGACACATGCTGTGATCAAATCTGGTAAGAAAAGGGTATTTCACTCTGTAGATGCAAGGGTTTGGGGTTGTTTTCATGGAAGACTGCCTTTGTAAATAAGAGCGCCAATGGTTGGAGAAGCCATAGCTCAGTGGTAGAGCATGTGTGTAGGATGTGCCAGGCCCCCAAACTTTCACTGTTCTTCAGCAAACCATCTTATGTAGCCGAACCACTGAAGGTGGCTGCTTGAGGCCTTGGAAAATTGCTAGACTTGATGGGCCATTTGGAGATGATGGCACAGCATCTGGCTTATAAGATGGTTTGGAGTGTACCTATCAGGTGTGCTGTGTTTCTGAAATGATTCTCCCTCTTTGCTAGTACCAAACTGAGAGTTCCTCCAGGATTCCTCCCAAGATTTCTGTTTGTGTGTCCCTTCATGGTGCTAGCAGTTGTTTGCTTAATTGTAGCCAAGTTGCATGGGCTGTGTGCCCATCCATCTGTGTTTTGTTTTGTTTGGGGAACAGAGCAAGTGTGGGAAAACATCTTGTGTTTTAATGGGCCTCTTTGGTGTAAATGGCCAGTGGCCACAACCCTTTTCCTGTTGGACTGTCTAGGGCCTGTGACAAAATAACAAGGGCTCCAGTAGCTAAACTGTCTCTCCTTTGGAGAAGCTCCCGATAACATATAGTTGATGACAGAGATCTGCCATTGCCTTGCAAATTGCCATTTTATCATAATCACAGCCTTCTACCTGAAAATCTTAGCCAACAGGGGGAATGCAAATAGCATGATATTGACAATGGATACAAGGGTTCTAATAGGATCAAGCAACTGGGTGCTGGCATTTATCGTTGTTTATTTTATCGGGCTTATATCCCGCCCTCCCCCACAGGTGGGCTCAGGGCGGTCACAGCATATAAAACATAACAGTTATTAAAACCTAGAATTGAAAACCAAATCTAAAATAATACAGCACAAAGATGGCAGCTTACTCGTAGCTTCAGAAAATCCATAATGCCTCCCAGAGGTCGTTTCGTAGAAAAAGAGCTAGGGGAACTCATTAGCATAACTCATTAGCATATGCCACCCCCCCCTGACATCACCGGAAGTGTGTCATAAGGCCACACACCCCGCCCCCAACGATCCCATGAGGGGCCCAGCAGTGGACCTGCAAGGCCGGCAGGAGTGCAAGGAAGCCCCGCGAAGGCCCTCCCTGGCCCCAGGCAGGCAGGGGTGGGGAGAAGAGGGAGGAAGCAACTTACCCTCCCTCTTCTCCTGCCTCCTCCTGGCTGAATGAGGGCCGGAAGCGGGGCGGCCGGAAGCAGGGGGTGCCCCCCGTACCTCACCTGGGGGAACTGCGATCCCCCACGATCCCCCCCGAAATGACCTCTGATGCCTCCTGCAAGACGTTAGTCTTGGCAATGGGGCTGGTGCAGTAGACAGGGGAGGCCGAGATCGTTGGATATCTGCCACCTCAACTGAACGCCTAGCAGAACAGCTCTGTTTGAAGGCCGTGTGGAATTGTAACAAGTCCTGCAAGGCCCTGGTCTCAGCTGGGAGCGTGTTCCACCAGGCCAGGGTCAGAGCAGAGAAAGCCTGGGCCCTGGTTGAGGCTAAGTGGACGCCTTTTGGGCTGGGGACTACTGGGAGACGTTGATTTGCATGGAGCTTGTAACTGCATGAGAAGCTGGCTGCTTGTAGCTGTGGCCCACTATCCCAGTCTTCGCTCTGCAGCTACACAGAAGTCTGGACAACAGGGGTTTAACTGAGTACGCAGCTGCTGCATGATTTGCAAGCACCCAGAGCTATCCTGATGTGAGTCCTTGAGGTACACACAGGATCTTCCTTCCTTGGGTCAGGCATGTTTGGAGGTAGGTGGGGGAAAAATTGAACAAACACAGAAAAAAACCCAAATATCAGTGTAAGAGTACAGTTAGGATCCTTCCTGCTTTGAGGGAGCTGCAACATGGTATTTCCTGGCTTAGTGAGGATTAATTATGGCAAAAATTTAGCCATCTAGGAACAATTCCTTCTTAATCTTTTGCAAGGAATAAAATAATGAGTTGCAGAACTTCTGTTCTAACACTCATGGAAGCCTGGTTCTAATATACAATTGAGCTATTGTTACTTGTATGAAAACATGCATTTACATATAATCAAAGCAGAAGAATGTGTTGTTGTTTTTTTTAAAAAAAATGATATTCTTGTCTCACAGCTCTTTTTCAGCCAGGACAGAGGTACAATTTTTCTGTCCTTGCTTGCAAAGAGAATGGATACCAGCTAATGAAATACGTAAATGGCTACTCAAAAGAACTGAGTAAGTACACTTGCCTTTTGCTTAAAAGATAGTGAAATGTAAGAGAAAAGATGCATGAATATGACTGGGATTTATTTAACTAATGCCAAGAGATCAAAGTAGTAGTTACTGGATTTACCTTGAACTTTGTATGCATGTGTGTAACAATTGGGTTACCCTGCAGTTGTCAGTTGCTGGCTCTTCACCTCAACTGTAAGTTTAAGGTGGCACCAGCAGGGGTACTACCATTTGTTTGTAGCTGGCTGGCCGTGTTGGCCTGAGGTAGAAGATCAAGATTTGGGTCCAGTAACACCTTAAAGACCAATGAGCTTTGCAGGATATAAGCTTTTGAGAGCTGCGGTAGCTCAAGTGGTTAAGACACTGAACTGCAGGCTGTGGAAGGTCAGTAGTTCAGCAGTTCAAGACCCGGGTTGCCACATGATGGAGTGAGCTCCCATCTCTAGTTCCAGCTCCTGCCAACCTAGCAGTTCGAAAGCAAGAAATTTGCAAGTAGATAAATAGGTACCACTTCGGTGGGAAGGTAACAGCGTTCCGTGCGCCTCGGCGTTTAGTCATGCCGGCCACATGACCACGGAAGCGTCTTCGGACAGCGCTGGCTCTTCGGCTTTGAAACGGAGATGAGCACCACAACCCTAGAGTCGGACTCGACTGGCTTTCGAGCAAGGGAACCTTTACCTTTTTACCTGACAAAAGGTCCTTTTGTATACCCTGGAATTATAGTTGGTCTGTGAGGTACTACTGGATTTAATACTTGCTCTTGAAACAATGAGCACTGGGACACCAGAGAAGACCTAGATATAAATGGGTGTGTTCGTTTGAGAGGGGGTTGCTTTCATTTAAGAATGCATCCACTTAATCACGTATGCAGCGCTTACCTAGAGTTGCTCCTGGGCTGTATTCCAGTTTATTTCTTCTCTGTACACTCTGCAATTGAAGTTGGTCTGATGGAAGATGCTGCCTGTATAATGGATCGTTGCCTTTTAGGCTAGGCAGCCTAAAATGCTCAGTGGCCGTGTTTGTTTCTAATTTGTGCTATCAAAACATAACCCTCTCCCTCCTTTTGCCTTCTACCCAGGTCCAAGAATTAAACCCTCGGTGAGGGTGGAACATACCACTTCAGATTCCATCTTGATCACATGGGAGATACTTCCTGTCAGTGACCGTGGTGGCTTCTTAAAAGGCTATTTACTTCAGTTTGCCAAAGGGGAAGAAGGCAAAATACAGTCCAAGGGTTTCGAAACAGGTAAATGGTGCCTCATGACTGCCTGTCACTTGTGAAAGGTGATTTGTGACAAATTGTGCTTCAAACAGCAGATGTGCTGTGCAATGTTCCCTCTAAGCTGTAGAGTCTTTTGAGCAAAAATTCTACTTTGTGAGCTCCTGGCATTAAAGTTGTGAGCGAGCCGTTTGGATACTGCATAAATTAGTTTGCTCTGGAGCCGTCCTTCCTGAGCAGAGACAAAAATGTGTGAGAAGAAGAAGAGAAGAGATTGGATTTATACCCCGCCCTTCACTACCCAAGGGAGTCTCAGAGCGGCTTACAAACTCCTTTCCCTTCCCCTCCCCACAACAGACACCCTGTGAGGTGGGTGGGGCTGAGAGAACTCTGACACAAATTGCTCTTTCGGGAACAGCTGTGCCAGAGCTTGTGACTGACCCAAGGTCACATCAGCAGGTGCAAGTGGAGGAGTGGGGAATCAAACCCGGTTCTCCCAGATAAGAGTCCGCACACGTAACCACTACACCAAACTGGCCAGGGGCTAAAAAACTGTGAGCTAGCTCACACTAACTCAGCTTAGAGGGAACACTGGTGCTGTGTGGTATTGACAGTCCAAATAAAGAGCGGAATCTTCATGACACTTTCTGGTACCACCCTCCACTGAGATTATGGATTGGATCCAGCAGAATGCTTCCACAGATGGAGTGTGACTTTCTCAGATATCACAGCTGCACTGTCTCACAGCCTCGGATGCCCCTGGAAATGCTGCTTCTGGCCCCAAGAATGTCACTGGGGGGCATTTTCTGCTGCAGTGGAGGGGGAGAGTGATGAGAAAGTCACATGTATAGAGGGAGGGATGAGAAAGCCACATGTATAGGGGGAGGGACAGAGGCAGTGTTCTCTGTAAGCTGAGTTAGTGGGAGCTAGCTCACAGTGTTTTAGCCTCCGACTCACACATTTCTGACTTAGCTCAAGAATGACTGGCTCCAGAGCAAACTAATTTATGCCACAGCCAAATTGCTCGCTCATAATGTTAATGCCAGTAGTTCACAAAGTAGAATTTTTGCTCACAAGACTCTACAGTTCAGAGGGAGCATTGGATAGAGGAATTATGTTATGCCCTTTTGTTTTTAATCTCTTGCTCGATCTGGTGCTCTATATGCTTGTGAACATGTTCTTTTTAATGAATATGTCATAATTTTTGATGCTGATAGTGGTTCCCTGTACCACATAGACCTCCGACATCTTGGGCATGCTATGGTAAAAGGAGCAGCAGGAGGGCAGGGGAGGGGCAGTCAGTTGGCAGGGGGCTACTCCCCCAGTGGTGCACAAGCAATAACCTGGCCCCGTGATAACCAGACACTGGACAGTGGGAGACACAAAGGCAAAGCCTCAGAGCTTGGAAGGGAAGCTGGGAGTCCTGGCCCTCCCAGTGGGCAATCCCTACAAAGGTAAGGTGATGGCAATGGGTGAACAGAGAAAGAGAGAGAAAAACCTCTCCAGGTGTTGGGGAAACCTTGGACGGTGGAGTAGAATAGAGCCTGCAGCTCAGAGCAGGAGTATTCTGCCACAGTTTCCTTTCCACCCGTGGAAATGTTTGGCTGGATCCAAGCTGTACTAGTTTGTCTGCAGCAGACTTGCGAACCTCAACTGCAGAAAGGCTGTCACTTTTCTCAGATGCTCATGGCGCTCCCGGTGCTTTTAACCAACTGCACACTGTCTTGCTTGCTCTTACAAACCCTTTTTTAACTGAATTTTGCTTCTGAGATGCATTGAAGGATGGTAGTGGGGGATGAGTTTGGATATTTGATGTATTCTTACCCCGCCCCCTTCTTTTTAAACCCATGCTGTCCAGAGTTGTTCAACATTTCGGACCCTAAGCAAACAAAACTCAGAATATCAAACCTTCAAGGGAAAACCAGCTACCACCTGAATTTATGCTGAATTTTGCTTCTGAGATGCATTGAAGGATGGTAGTGGGGGATGAGTTTGGATATTTGATGTATTCTTACCCCGCCCCCTTCTTTTTAAACCCATGCTGTCCAGAGTTGTTCAACATTTCGGACCCTAAGCAAACAAAACTCAGAATATCAAACCTTCAAGGGAAAACCAGCTACCACCTGAATTTAAGCGCCTACACAGCTGGAGGGGTTGGACCTGGGCGCAACCTCTACGTGACCACAAAGGAAAATTGTAAGTGGCATCATGCTTTGTGCTTTCAGTTCGGGGGGTTGCTGGGACCTTGTTCATGGTAGAATGACAGTTTGGTGTACAATACTAAAACAGCAAATGCCCTATTCCTGCAAAAAATATATCTTCCAATGATGATCAGAATATTCAATATCATGATTGGATTTTGCCGAATCATGGAAGTACATGATTCTGTACGCTCCCCCCAACAGCGTTCTACTCTGAAACTGACAGTGGTTGCCTTCAGGCATTACAATAAACTGCAGTTCATAAGCTGGCCGTTTGATAAAACCCAAGTGAGTTGTGACAGTCCAGCCCCGTGGAGTTGCGATGTTCCATTGTGATGGTCCAACAGCCGATGCTTGCTTGGTCGGAGCTAGTCTAGGATTTCAAACTGTGGTTTGTAATCTGGATTGGTGTTGAAAATGCGGTTATGGCAGACATCTAGGGTTTTGGATGCTCTCATTGCCTTGGGGGCACACTGACATGGTGGTTTCATGACAAGAGTTCTTCAACTTTAAGCTGCTACACCATGCTGATTCATTGCACCTGTGTGATACAAGGGATCATTTCATGGAATTCTGCACCAGGGCCTTCGGCGGTTTACGTGATGCGGCCAGCTTCTGCAGTGCCTCTGGCCACTGAACTGGATTCTGGCACTTTCCTCTGGCTATTTTGGGGTGCAGGAAACTAGTATATTGTGGGGCTGTAGCTAATTTTATTTGCATTACCCCAGCTGCTGACAAAGCATCACTATGCAGCTAATTTTATTTAGGCATTTATATGCTGGTCTCCCCCCCCAAAAAAATATATATACACCCAAAGCTGCTTACAAGGTAGAAAAATACAGTGGAAACAAATAGGAAAATGAGTGGGGAAAGTCTTCCCATTGCAGGACAAGTCTTTCTCTCTGCCAGAAGATCTTGCTTCCGGCCCCAAGCTACTACCTGTGGGCACCTGGGACTAGGGGTGTGCAAAAAAAAAAATCGGCCCAATTCGGATTCGGCGGAATTAGGCAGAATCAATTTCAGCCAGCAGAAAGACTCCCGCATGTCAATTTCAGCAGTTCCAGCCCATTGGGGAGTCTTTTGGCCAGCCGAATGTCGATTTCGGCCCCATTATATCCTATGAGCCATTAAAGTCAATGGTGAAAACATAGGGTATATTCTGGGAACTGGAGGGGAGGGGGTTTGAAGGAGAGGCTCCAAACTCACAGGGTAGCTGCTGGAGCCTCTCCCCAAGATACCCACCAAGTTTGAAGAACATTGGACCAGGGAGGTCCAATTCTACGGGCCCCCAAACAGGTTGCCCCCATCCCCTCCATTGTTCTCTATGGTGGGCAATTCGGCGGCAAGCCAGTTCAGGTCAGAGAATCTGAATCGGCCTGCAGCAGTTTAAAGGGGCCCGAATAGGCCATTTTTGGTGGTGCATTCGGTTCAGATGAACCGAATGCACATCTCTACCTGGGACAGCCCGGGCTTCAAAAGGTTGCCAGGAATAATCCGGCCTATAAGGGCTGAATAGGCAGCCTCTTTGTATGATCAGCGAGAGGCTTCTCTGCAACTCCTTTCCATTTCTGCACCAGCCCAGCAGATCGAGCCAGCTGCAGTTTTGTCCCTCTGCAAAAGGAAGCGACACCCTTTCCCTTCGGCCAATATTGGCTTTCCTACCCTGCAGCCCAAGAGGCATTTTCAACATACCAAATCCTGTAGAGGCTGCACGTGGAGAAGCCAAGCATCACTTCAGGAAGAATATCAAAACCTTTGTGTAATATAGTTATTTAGTACTGTTTTAGTACGTGGATTGCAAGAGTGAATCTAGAGATTTCAAATTCCATTTATGACAGGCTACTAAAGGGTAACTAGCTACTTTATGGAAACTTGATGCAGTCTTACAAAGCACTGTGTGGTTTTGTGGCTTCAACATACTTGCAAGTAGGCCCCAGTCCTTTCTTTGGCCTGCACCGTTGTTAGGAGCAGCTGACAGACTTTGCTGTCTAACTCGTTTTTTCTCTTATATTTTTCAGCCGTGGGATTAATCATTGCCATCATCATCCCAGTGGCCATAGTTGTTGTGCTTGCATTGGTGACCACCATCCTTTGCTACCGGAAGAGGGAATGGTAAATACTTGCATGGCCTAAACATTTGTTGTCTTGCCAGTGAGGGGGAGAAACAGTGAGAAGTAGACAACAGTTCTTGTTATTCTCTGGTACCACAGTGTCCAGTACATAACTGGTACAACCTAACTGTGAAAAAGGGAGAGGAGCAAAAGTTGTTGGTATCTTTTTAAATAGATGGAACTTCAGTGATACATGGCACTGGAAGAGCCATTTGTGTGTGTGATTTCATCATAGGAATAGGCTCTAAACATTTTCCCGCCTAAGGCAGCTGCAATGTGAGAGGAGTGCTCTGAATCCCTTGCATTGGCAAAGAAATCCACATGCTGTTGCCAGTCTTTCTGTGCCATCCCAATCTGAGGACTGAAATAGCAAGCATGCCACATGAACACATGAAGCTGCCTTATACTGAATCAGATCATCATAATCTGTATTAGTCTATCAGTGTTGTCTACTCTAACTGGCAGCAGCTCTCCAGAGCTTGGGCAGAGGTCTTCCACATCACCTACTACCTGATCCCTTACTGGAGAGGATGAGGATGGAACCTTCTGCATGCCAAGCAAATGCTCTACCACTAAGCTGTGGCCCCTGTGAGGGTCCCTAAGAATGGTGGCTCAGTAGGAGATAGGGTTGCCAGGTCCTTACCTTGCGCCAGTGGGTGGGTGTGTCAGGGTGATGTTGCGCATGATGTCCCCAACATGATGATGTCATGCAGAAGTGACGCCATCACACCAGGGATGTTGCATGGTGACACTCTGGTTTTTGGGCTAACTCGATGGTAAAATTGGGCTCAAACCATAGAGTTTCACTCAAATACCAGAGCGTCACCATGGAGTGTCCCTGGTGTGATGATGTCACTTCCGCGTCATGTCATCATGGCAGGGATATTGCACAGGGTCATAACTGTTGGGGGTGGGGCTTCCCCTGCTGGCCAGCGGTGAGCAGGAGCCAGCAAAATTTGGGGGATCCCTTGCTCCCACCTGGGTACTGGCAACCCTTGTTTTAGATCACATGCTTTGCATGGGTGAGAGGCCATTTCCTGTTAAAGAATCTAGGGCAGCAAGGGAACTTTCTCTCCCTGATGAGCTGCTGTCACTCACATTAGGCCATAGGGAGCTACATGAACCAGTGGTCTGATGTAGCATGAGGCAGCGCGCATGTTCATATATATCCCATTTCAGATTTGCCTCTCAGATTTCATATGCTCCATTGCCACCACGAGGAACCACTTGGAGTACTTGTGCAGTCAGGCCAGTCCTGACCTGGACTTTTTTTCATCCTCATTCCTTTTGTTCACGGTTTCAAAACCTTTTAAAGACTGCTTCCTGAGCTGCTTTTTGTCTACAAAATACATATCAGTAATGAAGAATGCATACATGTATAACTTGTGACTTTTCCTATGAAATACTTATCAGCAGGCCCCAGTCCTCTGGAGGTCTTTACTTGTAAGCATTTTGAACAACAAAGCTGTGCATTTAAGTATGCATATATCTTAAGGCAGGGGTTCCTAACTCTTTTCATCCTGTGGCCACCCATAAAATTCTGGCACAGCGTGGTTGGCACAGTTGCAAAATGGCTGCCACCGGAGGCGGAGCCAGCCAGAAAATGGCTGCTGCAGCTGACCTTCAGTCACACATGAAGAATGCATACATGTATAACTTGTGACTTTTCCTCTGAAATACTTATCAGCAGGCCCCAGTCTTCTAAAGGTCTATACTTGTAAGCATTTTGAACAACAAAGCTGTGCATTTAAACACGCATATACCTTAAGGCAGGGGTTCCTAACTCTTTTCATCCTGTGGCCACCTATAAAATTTTGGCACAGTGTGGTTGGCAGAGTCGCAAAATGGCTGCCACCGGAGGCGGAGCCAGCCAGAAAATGGCTGCTGCAGCTGACCTTCCGTCACACAGAAAAGATCATTTGGCTGTGGTGCTTTTGTTGTTGTTCAGTCGCACAGTCGAGTCCAACTTTTTGCGACCCAATGGACCACATCACTCCAGGCCCTTCTGTCTTCCATCATGTTCCGGAGTTTGCTTATTTCATGTTCATTGCATCAATAACACTGTCTAACCATCTCATCGTTTGCCGTCCCCTTCTTCTTTTACCTTCAATCTTTCCCAGCATGAGAGAGCTGTGGTGGCAGCTGCTGCCAGAGCAACATTTTATAAAATCTCAATAGCCAATCAAAGCTCCAATGGCCAATCAGAAGCTTTGCTGGGCAAAGTTCCACCCACTTTCTAAAAACACTGGGATAAATGCTTTTCCAGGTCTGGATAGGATGGTTCCCTTAACCCACTTAATAGCACCAGCATGATGATGATGAAATCTAAACGTAGCTTTTGTATGAAGTTAAAATATGTTCGACAGGGCAGATTAAAGGGGGGAAGGTGGCTTTAGAGAGGCCTCCTGATCTAGAATTCAGTATGATACGATTATGGTGCATGGGTTTTCCTGTTCATTTCAATGGAAGGAGCTCTGTGTGCACATGGAAAGTGTTATTGAATCTGCTGGGAAACCTCCATTTGGAAGACTCTTCATGTCTAGATTCCCACAAGAGACTGCTGGAATCGAAACTTCAATACAAACTGCAGTTAGTGTGTGTTTAATTAAATAGGTTGCTGCAGGGGTCATTTCGTAGAAAAAGAGCTAGGGGAACTCATTAGCATAACTCATTAGCATATGTCACACCCCCTGACATGCAAGGCCAGCGGAAGTGCGAGGAAGCCCCGCCAAGGCCCTCCCTGGCCCCAGGCAGGCAAGGGTGGGGAGAGGCGGGGAGGAAGCAACTTACCCTCCCTCTTCTCCTGCCTCCTCCTGGCTGAATGAGGGCTGGAAGCGGGGCGGCCAGAAGCAGGGGGCGGGGCTTCATTGTGTGCCCCACCCCCCTGCACCTCCCCCCGAACTGTGTTCCCCCGTGTTCCCCCCCGAAATGACCTCTGGGTTGCTGTATTCTTTAATCACTACTTGTGGGGCAGTTTGTTGGAAATTCCTGACAATAATATCTATGTTCTTACTTCCATAGGATTAAAGAAACCTTCTATCCTGACATTCCAAACCCTATGAACTGCAAAGCTTTGGAGTTCCAGAAGGGTCCATGTGAGGTAATTGTTCTCATTTTATCACTCTGTTCTCTTGTTAGCAGATACTTAGAAGATGGTGATAATGGGGGCAGGAAGTGAAGAAAGCTATCTTCCTGTTTCCTTTTTGAGGTGGAAGGAAGTTGTGTGTTTCAGAGTTATCATTATTGTGTTTATTGAGCCTCTTGACCTAGAAAAGGTGGCTTTAGCTTTTGGGGAAACAGAGATAGGCTGATGACGAAGGATGCTTGTATGGAACAAGGTACAGGGACAAGTACCTGGTAGAGTAAGTAAACTGGTGGAGACTTGAATGTTAGCGAAAAATCTCTTTGCAGTGAGTTTGATTCTTCAAAATTCCGAGGTCTTCCAGTAGGTGCCTGAAGTACAAGGAGACGGATTGTCCCTCATAACAAAGCTGTCCCTGAAATTACCTGCATTCAGTTATTTTTTTTTAAAAAAAATGGTTAAAAGGTAAAGGTTCCCTTGCTCGAAAGCCAGTCGAATCCGACTCTAGGGTTTCAAAGCTGAAGAGCCAGCGCTGTCCGAAGACGTTTCTGTGGTCATGTGGCCGGCATGACTAAACACCGAGGCGCACGGAACGCTGTTACCTTCCCACCAAAGTGGTACCTATTTATCTACTTGCAATTTCTTGCTTTCGAACTGCTAGGTTGGCAGGAGCTGGAACTAGAGATGGGAGCTCACTCCATCATGCAACACCCGGGTCTTGAACTGCTGAACTACTGACCTTCCACAGCCTGCAGTTCAGCGTCTTAACCACTTGAGCCACCGCAGCTCCTTTAAAATGGTTACACATGTTTAATAAAAATGATCTTGATATTCACTGTTAGCTCAAAACGTGTCAGGAATTACTTTTATTTTATTAAAGACTTTAGAGCCCTGCTTGCTCCACCTGGTTATTTTTTAGAACGTGTGTTTTACTCATATCAGTAATGCTAATATTTGTGAATCCTACCACAGAATCTGCTCTTTCTAGCTTCAGTCACAGGGTCAGGGAGTATCCGAGAGGCAGCGTACCAAGGTAGTGATTGTTGCCGGGTGGTAATGGTGGATCTGTTTTTTAGTCTTATGGATTTCAAATGCCAGAAATGTTTGAGTGCTCCCCTTACTTATTGCATTTTCTCTTTGTAGGGGAAGGCTAACCCTAAAACCTTGGAGATGAATCCATGTACCCCCAACAACATTGAAGTGGTGGAAACACAATCCCCGTGCCTCAAGGTAGAGGACACAGCAATGACATCACCGGTGGCAGATGAGCTACCCGAAGATGGTTTTGACTCTGAAACAGAGAGCCATATTGTTGTCTCCTACTGTCCACCAATCATAGAAGAGGAGATCTCCAACCCACCAGGAGACGAGTCCACGGGGTCTTCCCAGGTCGTTTATATCGACATCCAGACAATGTATCCCCCTCAAGTAAAACTGAAGGAAGGACCAGGGGTGGACTGTGCAGCTGCAGCAGGCTATAAGCCCCAAATGCAACTGCCTGTAAATAGCGTAATAAAAATGGAGGAGACGCCATCTGCGGAAGGGTATATGGACAAGGCTGCGGGCTACAGACCTCAAGTGAATCCACCCACATGGAACACGGGCTGCCCGGATTCTCCTGGATCCACCGAGAGCAATAACGAAAATGCCTCATTCGGGAGCCCTTGTTCAATTAATTCTCGACAGTTTTTGATCCCGCCCAAAGAGGATGAAGACTCCCCCAAAGTCATTAACACGGGGTGGTCCTTCACAAATTTCTTTCACAACAAACCAAACGATTAGCATTGCGACGGTAAATCTTGCCTCGAACGCTTCCGTATGCTGGGACTTGTTGAAAGAGTAGCACCCAGAGGTGCTGTGCAGCGGGTTTTATAATTTCATTTCAGTGAAATTGAATGTTAACTTTGTATAAGTTGCAGTGTGTAAATTGGCAAGGTTTCACTCTTACGGCTAGCTGAGCTGCTGATTTGTAGTATCTCAGTTAGGGCGGGGCACTCCGTGGTAACCTTTTCTTACAACTGAAGCCAAAGAGGAGCCGCAGTCCTGCATCTGCTTCCAGGCAGTTTGCCCCCCACCCCCCGCTGTCCGATGGGCGCAACGTTCTTTTTGGGACTCTCTTTCTGGTTCCTCGTTCTGCATTGATAGAATAGGAAAATGGATAGAAGCGGCCCCTTGGGGGGCTCTGTCTGAGTGGAAAGGCGGCATATAAATGTTTTCAATAAACAGATATTTTAAATGAAAAGCCACTTTCAGAAATGTAGAAGGGAGAAATAATTAGTCATTATAAGCTTAGCCTTTGGCCTGGACACAGTTATCTGGGTGGTAAAAAATTGGGGCATGTAAGAAGTACGTTCTGGCCGGGCTCCTTGTTCACCCACCCAGTTGTTGTCCAATCAGAGGCACTTTTAAGCAACTTTAGGATTCTGGGGGACGTTGTCCAACACTACAATACTGCATTGATGATCATTGGGAGGCATTAGTCCTCGAACTGATCTGCAGAGCACCTGACACTTAAAAACAGTCTGGTTTTTGTTTTGCTTAATATCTGTGTGGCTAGCCCAGGCTAGCCCAGTCTGATCAGAACTCAGAAGCTAAGCAGGGTCGGTCCTGGTTAGTACTTGGATGGGAAACAACCAAGGAAGTCCAGGATTGCTACGCAGAGGCAAGTGAAGACAAACCCACCTCTGTTAGTCTCTTGCCTTGGAAACCCAATGGGGGTAGCCATAAGTCAGCTGTGACTAGGCAGTGCTTTCCACCAAACCAGTTTTTGAGCTGAAGAAGTCCAGGGGAGATAGCTTGTCCATCACAACCTCAGCTCGGGATGTCTCTGTTCGTTTCGACAAGCCTGGATGCTTGTTTCTGTACCTGCTGTATAAATGTATATGCAAAAGTTGACTCAGGGGTGCAAAAACGAGTGCAACACTGATTTTAAAATCTCAGTCAGGAATAGATTAAAGTTTTCGCTTCCAGCATTTTAAATAATGCTTACTTTTTCCACTTTTTAAATTGACTGAAATCATGTAGTCATGCCAGGTTAGCATCATTCTTTGTGACATGCTTCACTTTTATGTGGCTTGGTTTATTTTTTTTCTACAGGCCTGTTCAGTCACATGACAACCCCCCCCCCCTTTTCCACAGTCTGCAGTGGTATAGCCGAGACACCGGCTTTCCATCTCAGGCCACAGTTTTGTTTGCACATCCATGGAAACCGCTTTGTCACTTGTGTTTATATGAGAATGCCACAGGCAGGTTGTCCCAACCAAGAATATTTAGCTACAGTGAGAATGTCTTCCATAGCACTTTTCCTGCACTAATGCCACCAATGGAAGCAGGATAAGCTTGAGAAATGTTCCTCTCCTTAGTTTCCATGGAAACTCATTATTCCTGTAAATACTTTTGCCATCTGTGAATATTTTCCACGTGTAAGTATCAGAAGTGGAGCTTCTTTCCATGAATTTCCTTGCTATATTTGCCCAAATCAGAAGTGAAGAGAGGTGTTTTGTTTGTGTATACAAATATACAATTGTATACAAGACATCCTGGATGTCTTTAAATCTATCACTGGCAGAAGAAAAGAACTTTTCAGACTTGGGGTACAGATAGATTGGCTTCTGTTTTCAGTGAAGCAAAACCAGATTTTAACATCTACATTATTTTTCTTGCATTTGCACTTCTGTAATTATACACTACTTGTAGAGCTGCTGCTTT